CGTCATCTTTTGTTCATTCAAGCAGTCAAGAAAGTTTAGGAGGATGTGAACTTTAAGATTGAATAAATTCGACAAGAATGGTGCAGGAGGTTGCGAAGGTTGATCAAAACTATTCTAGCCTTCATACTAAGGTAGATATAGTTGTTGATTCAGTCACGAAGCTTGTTGTGTATCACACTTCTGTTAACTCTAAGGAGTTTGTACATCTACAAGGATTATTATCAGAAGTGAAGGAGATGATTTAAAAACATGATATTCATTCTTTAATAGTTTCTCAAGAGTCCATCTCACAACTATTTTCAACATTGGAGTCCCGACTAAAGGTTGATCTTGGCCCTTTACTGCATTTGGTGAATTTGATGCCCACGGTTGCCCCACATATCTTCACAGGGGTACAAGGGGGAGATAAGGGTGTGGGTGCATCAAAGAATTCAGATCAAGGCGAAGTTGTTGGTATGTTATCAATCATACAAATTTTCTCTCCATTTCCAATATCTACAACAACTACTTCTACAACCATGACTTCAAAAACTTTAACCAAAGGTAGTGTAACTCCCATAATCAGAAAGACCAAGAAAGGAAAGGAAAATCCTAAGTTAAAGGGCCAACTCGTCGAGTCCAAGGAGGAACTCGGCGAGTCCGAGCGGGATCCGGGTCGAGGAGTAGGTGACCGACTCGGCGAGTCGGAGAATGGACTCGGCGAGTCCAGTCTGAAGAGGGAAACCCTAAATCCCGGACTTTATGCACTATTTAAGCACCTCATTCTCTTCCTTAGGGTTCCTTTACACCTCTTCTCATCCAGAACATCGAACCCTAGCCGCAATATCCGTTTTTGAGGAAAGATCTAGTCTTGGAGTTGTGATTTGAAGCTTGGAAGAGAAGGAAGTTCATAGTGGTGCAAGAGGAAGCCTTGGATCTAGAGTTGGTGTGACTTTTCAGAGCATTTGAAGGTAAGAAGTCATTACCTTCACTCCTTTGCTCATAGATTCCTTCTTGTCATGAGATTTGGGGCTTTTATGCCATGTCCTAGAGCCAATTGGAGTTAGAAGTCCAGATTTGAAGTTGCTACTTCAGATCTAAGTGTATTCTGGCCTAGAGGGTCATAAAGTATCAGTTTTGGGGGTGTAGGTGAAGCATGGTTGTCTTAAACCCGAGTATAGAGTGTTTTGGGCCTAGATCTCCTTAGCTACATGTAAAGTTTGCAACTTTACGTGAGGAATAGGCCTTGGAAGAGTGGATCTACAGTTTGGAGTCCCTGCATGACTCAAAAAGCCTCTGAATGCATGAAGGACTGAATAGACTTAGCGAGTCCTTCGAGCAGACTCGGCGAGTAGTATGAAGATTAAGAGGAACTTGACGAGTTGGATGAACAACTCGGCGAGTATGTTGAAGTTTGCCTTGGACTCGGCGAGTCATGTCGTGAAACCCCAAAACCCTTTGAGTTAAAACTCGAATCAGTGAGTTTAGTGGAGACTCAATGAGTTGGACAGGATAGGACTCGGAAATCGGTGGACTCGGCAAGTCATGGGTTGACTCAGCGAGTCGAGTCGCAAATGGAAGCACTCTGAGCATATGAACTCGGCGAGTCAGTAGGCAGACTCGGCTAGTAGGGTTGACCTGGAAGGTTGAGGCCCAGGACAAGGGCGAGGCCCAGGATAGGCGAGGCCTTAGGACAGGATCCATTAGTATATGTTTAGCTTATGTGTGGTAATATGTTTATGTGCTATTATATGTTAGAGGGCGAGGCCTAGTGACAGGCAGGCCTAAGTGAAACAGATATGTATCCGAGCAGGGCTCGAAGCCAGGCGGGGCCTGGAGCGGCAGGGCCGTTGTAGCGGGTTTGGCCCGAGGTAGTGGGCGAGGCCCAGAATAGCGGGTGTGGCCCAGTATGTGGTTATGCATGGTATGTGGTAGGTTGGGGAACTCACTAAGCTTTGTGCTTACGGTTTTTAGTTTTGGTTTTAGGTACTTCCAGTAGCGAAGGGAAGAGCTCGGGGTGATCGCATGGCACACACCATAGATTAGACAGCCTGGGAATGTTTTACTCTGATAATAAAAATATGTTTTGGAATTAATACTATGATTATGTTATGGATTGATAAATGTGTTTTAAGTAATGTTTTATAAAAGAAATTTTAGTCTTGAAAATTGGGACGTTACACGTAGTGTCTTTCTATCATCTACTGGTGGGTCAAGTTCGAAGCCACCTCTATCAACAGAAGAGTTGAAGCAAATAGGAAAGAGTATTTTGATAGAACCAACTGTCAAAGAGAAAAAGATGGGTTTGGAGCAGGAAATGGAAAAGCAAAGAAAAATTCAGAGTATTCTTCGACAAAGATAGAGTGATCCTCCTAGCCTTGATAAGGGTGATCCATCCAAACATTACAAGTATGAAACAATTGAGGCTACTGTTTTCAGTGGAGTAATGTATGAGTTTCCTAAAGTTCCTAAAAAAAGATTTGATATTGAAAACTCAGATTTCAATTAACTGGACTTCCCTATCAACGAAATGATGTTCATTTCTTCGCAATATTAGATTGTTGACATATTTGAAGACAAAGATGAATTCAAGAGATTGAAGCTTCGATTCCATACTGTTCTTGGAAAAGGGGAGAAGAGATTTGGTCGTTGGTCAAAATTGTTAGAGTTCTAAGCATTTCCAAGGATGTGTTATTCGAAGGAGTTTTGCAGAATTTTCATTATCATGTTGTTTGAGTTAACAATGTTGCATTCGACTTCTCAGTAGCAGACTTTCCATTGATGAATCTAAATGATCTCATCAGTGTAGCAAGGACTTTGAAAGGAGTAGATACTTCGAAGCTACAAATGATAGATAAAGAAGACTTCTTGACTAGGTATGCACACATTAAGTTATTCATCGATAATTACTACGATTGTCTTGAAATGACTCCAGTGGAATTGGCTTTAGCAATGGGAAAACAAGTAACAGTGCCCCAATCTATGTTGAAGGGTCAACGAAGTCTTAAAAGATATAAAGATGGGGAGATCTATATGAAGCCCCTTGGAATTTTTTTATGGGTAAATATAAGAAAATGAAAAACGTTAAGTTTCTTTTTCAAACTTATGATGTGGAAAGGTATACATGTTCTCAGTATACAAATCTTCTGGTTCCTATGAATAGCTGGAAAAAGAACAATGATGGGGACAAAGCAGATATTCGAAAAACAATCAATTGGTATGCTGAGATAAGGAGGGTTATACATCAAGCGGCCCAGATGTTGATGACTTAGAATTCAACACTACTTACAAGGAGGGAGAATGTTGGGTTCGAAATAGTTGTAAGGCGTCGAAGCGCCCTTTGTTTTGTATTAGTATCAAAGTAGTCTTGTATGTTTTGCATAAGGGTATTTGTATTTCGAAGCTTTATTGATTAATCCCTTATGTATTTTTTGTATGCTTTTGTCATCCCTATACTAAGGAATTGATACTAGAGTTAGAGTATCTTTCAGAGTCTTCACTACTTGTACTCTAAATTTACTATGTATCTTCCAAAAGAAATATATTGAGCTAAGCAAATATTATTTACGATTTTGTGTTCATAATTCATTCTAAACTCTAATCTCGTTTCTTATGACTAAAGAGGGTAACATACTTTAGCTTTTGGTCACACAATTATTTTTCGTGCTTTATTAACCATTGAATTTGTGGAAACGTATACATTATACCAGTATGACCCTCAATAGTGAGTTTTGCCGATTTCCAATGTGGGTTTCTGCTAAGTATGATTTTTCTGGACGACATTTCTGACGTTCCTTACCTCTGGCCACACTTTTAATCTAAGTTTTATTGAGGGAATTTGACATAAAATTTTGAAAATAAACTCACAAAAGACACCTAACTGTGTGTTCTTGGTGTTTGTGTGTGAAAATTTGAAGTCGGTGAAGATGAACATGAACAAACAAAAATGAACTCACAAATTGTTTGCTGTTTTGTTCTTAAATTCAAAGCTAATGAAGATGAAAATGAGCACACAAAAACCCTAGGTTTTTAAGTTCGATTTCATTTGTATCTCGGTCAAGAAAAAAAAACTAGGTGTGTTGAGTTCGATTTCCTCCAGATTCATCAAGTTTTTGAGTTAGAGTTTGAGGGTTTCGAGTTTATAGAGTTCTTGTGTTCGAGGTCAAGGATTTCAAGTTCATCTAATTCTTGTGCTCATCTAATTTTGGGTTTTTAACATTTCTAGTAAAAAAAAGGTCTTGCCCGGAAAATCAAGTTTGACCGGAGAAGATGACCAAAAAATCATACTTGACTGGAAACAGTGCCGGGTTAATAAAACATGAAAATTAATTTAGTAACCAAAAGCTATGGTAGGTTAACCTATCAAGTTACTTTTTTTTTTTAAACGGCAAACTAACTAATGTACTCCTAAATAACCACTTATATCTCAAACGAGATTTGAACCCTTGACCTCTCAAATGAGATGATCACTCCATACCGCTAGGCCATTGGCCAGTTGGTATCTATCAAGTTACTATCCCATTTATTTAATACCAAAAAGTGGGATCCAATTTAATGTGCAATTAACGCACGGCAGAGGTTTTATTAGGATACCATTTACAATTATGCTGTTTTGACTTTAATTAACTTTGTTTGCGCGATATTAAATAATAAAAGAGTGCATGTACAGTAATTTTAAATACTAAAAAATGATATATTATTTTTAACAGAAACCAATTTATATGAGTTTTCAATAAGGACAAAGAAAGTTAATAAGTGGATCATTTATATGAGTTTTCAATAACGACAATGAAAGTTAATAGGTGGATCAGTGGTAGCTACGCATGTTTAATACAGGCAATATCGTTTGTTGAGCTCATGGGGGCAGTTTGCAACCTTCATTCATTACATTTGTAAATGGCTAATTATATTCTCACCCACCTATATCCAATACATATAATTATATAATATTTTATTCTTATTCTTGTTAAATAGATAAGCTCGTCTATTCATTTCACACACACATTCCCTCGATCTTGAAAATGGCTGACGCTTTAGTCTCTGTTGCTGCCGACGCAATCCTAAAAAAAGTGGCATCGTTAGCTGCCAACGAAATCGCCCTTGTTTTGGGTTACAAAGCGAAGTTGCACACACTTGAACAGTCCTTGAAAATGATTCGTGCCAAGTTACAGGATGCCGAGAATGAGAAAGCTCAAAAACATGGTGTGATGGAGTGGCTGAAACAGCTAAAAGATGTGGTTGGTGAAGCTGATGACGTGTTAGATGAGGTTGACTACGATATGCTGAGGCGTGAGGTAAAGAATCGAGACCGGGTGCATAGAAAGGTACCCTCTCTCCCAAGCATGAAAAAGCTTTCATTTCGTAGAGAAATTGGTCAAAAAATAAAAAATATTAATGAAAAGTTGTCTCAAATTAATAAGCTCGCCAATGAGTTAACACTAAAAGATGAACAACCTGGTCCCGTTGTTCCAGATCGTCCATACCCCCAGACTGTCCCAAGTTTAGAGAAATTCAAAATTGTTGGGAGGGAGGAGGATGAAGAGCACATCATACACCTTTTAACCGAATCCAGAAAAGAAGAAATGCTTACGATTGTTCCTATTGTGGGAATGGGCGGGATGGGGAAGACCACTTTGGCTAAGTCTGTCTACAATAATCCAAAAATCCAGCAACACTTTGATGTTGAAGCGTGGGTATGTGTATCGGTTAAGGTTGATATCAAGACACTTCTAGCAAAGATCTATGAAATTCTTGCAGGACACGCACCTAAGTCGGTTGAAATGGGCAATTTAATTAGTGCTCTTGAAGAGAAGTTGGGATCAAAAAGATATTTGCTAGTTCTGGATGATGTTTGGGACGAAGAGAGATCACATTGGGAAGAATTTAAGAGTCATATGATGATGATAAAGTCAGAAACTGGAAGTGGCGTTCTTGTGACGACCCGAAAACTTGACATTGGAACTAAGGCTATGAAAATCAATTCATGTCTTTTGAAAAGTCTTTCTGATGATCATTGTTGGTACATCTTTAAAGAGAGGGCGTTTCTAGTGGGACAATCATGGCAACCCAAATTGGAGGAGATAGGACGTGATATTGTGAAAAAATGTCGTGGTTTGCCTTTGCTAGTAAAGGTAATAGGAGGTGTATTGCAGAATTACAGTGACCCAGAGAAGTGGTTGGCCATCAAAAATAGTGACATTTGGGATCTAGAAGATGAAAGGGAGAGAGTTCAAAAGAGTTTGGAACTGAGCATAGATAATCTGCCTAGACTATCTATCTCCAAGCAATGTTTTGCATACTGTTCCATCTTTGAGAAAGATACACTCATGGAAAGGGAAGAACTGATCCAACTTTGGATGGCTTTAGGGTTGGTTGAAGCAGATGATACAGGAAGCAATGAGATGGAGGACGTTGGAAATGATATTTTTCAAATTCTGGTCAGCAATTCATTGTTCCAAGATGTTATAAGGGATGAGTATGGTCACATCACTCATTGTAGCATGCATGGTCTGTTACATGATCTTTCATTATCTCTTTTTTCCAAACAAGAAGGCTTAAGTGTCGGGTGTGCAGTGAATGATGATATTTCTCGTGTCGATAAGGTTAAGCAGCTCAAGCATCTCGCTGTTTACAACAAACACAACGAGGTCATTGAATTTGAAGCCAAGGTTTCTATGTTCATTGAATGGGATATGGTGGGTAGAACTTTGCATACGTTGTTTGTCAAAGAATTAAATATGATGGAATTTTCATTTCAACGACTCAAGTGCATTCGAATCCTAAAACTCCAAGGGAATACTATATGGGAGTTAGACGATTCAATCGGAGGGTTGGTGCATCTTAGGTATCTTGATTTGTCAAAGACAATGATCCATGTTCTTCCTGAATCTATTGGTAAATTATACCACTTGCAAACTCTGAGGTTGCGCTCTTTTGTCTTTAAGCAGTTTCCAGAAGCCATGAGAAATTTGATAAGCCTGAGATATTTCGTGTGTGACGTAGACATTCCCACCAATATCTTGGGACAATTGATTTCTCTTCGAAAATTGCCAACCTTCACAGTGCTTAAAAGCAAGGGACACGGTATTGAAGCACTACGCTATTTGAATAATCTTAGCGGAAAGCTTCGTATTTTCGATCTAGAAAATGTGGGAAGCAAAGAGGATTCTGTTAAGGCTGAATTATCCGGAAAAAGAAAATTATACGATATTGAATTCAGTTGGAGTGGCAATGGAGGTGCCAACAGAAACGACAAGGAAGTATTGGAAGGCTTGCAACCCCCTAGAGATGTGAAAATGTTGAGAATTAACAAATTTTCTAGTTATCATTTTCCAAATTGGGTAACAAAGATGGCAATCAATATTGACGGGAAATGGACTCCCCTTGACAAGCTCGTGTCAATCACATTATATGGATGTAGCAGCTGCCTCTCTCTTCCGACACTTGAGCACCTACCACATCTTCGGGAGCTGGTATTAATGGAAATGGACAACTTGACATGTTTAAGGAGTTCCGATGTTACTGGATCAATGAAGCCTTTGTCTCCAAGGTTGAGATCGCTCAGACTAATACGTATGGAAAAACTGGAAAAGTGGATAGACGGAGAAACCAACAGCTCAAAAATGATATCGCCTGTCCTCGAGAGTTTGGAAATTGAGAGTTGTCCAAGGATTATTCAGTTAGATGAATGCCATCCCCATCCTCTTGTATCCTTAAGGATATGTGACTGCACAGGTCTAGAGTACATTAAGAGCATACAAGGCCTCACATCTCTCGTATTTTTAGAAATTTCCTATTGCGAAAGTCTTTCAGAAATAACCAATTTCCCCAACCAGTGTCATTCTTTGAAGACTTTGCAAATTAAATATTGCTACGGACTGCGGTCCTTGCCTTGCGAAATGTTTGACTGTTTTGCCCTCTTAAATGAGTTGATACTTGGTCCGTTCTCGAAGGAGCTCCATTCTTTCCCAAGTCTCCAAGGCATCGAGAAGTTAAGTAACCACCTTCACTCATTGGAATTGTGGGGTTGTGATCACTGGGAGTTGATGCCAGAAGAAATACAACACCTCAAGTCACTGACACGGTTATGCGTAGATAGCTTTGGAATAAAAGAACTGCCTATATGGTTAACCAAAATGTCATCTATTCGAGAAATGTGTTTCACTGTTTGCAAAGGGTTAAATAAAGAAAAGGTTAAATGGAGAGCACCGTGTGAAGCAGATTTTGTCAGTTTAAATCATTCAAGGGTGTACATAAACAAGGCCGTCCTTCGGCATGTACGGGGTGTGCATCGATAGGTGTCGTTTCGTTTAGGGGCTTGGGTTTTTTTTAAGTACACTAATATTAGTCGTGACTTGTTACTGATTATTGTCAATTTAATGATGGATTAGTGATAATTTTGTTTTGATTAATTGTATAACATGCAAACATATATAGCATGATTACAGAGTGCAAGTCATTATTTCAGGAAGAAAAAAAAAAAAGGTAACCATATGTAACCGTGATTAGATGGTTAGATTTTTCTGTACCTGTATTAAACATAAACAAAAATAGCATTGTCACGAGCAAGCCAAACCACTCACATACTCTGGCTTTATCTGCTAAAATAATCAACACTTCTAAACTTCTGTCTAGTGGGAGAGGAATCTACTCTGCAATATGTTTGTTAATTAAATCGATATTAATCTTGTATTTTCTTCATGGGTTGCTGCAGAATGAGGTTTACATATACTTCATCACTGGTAATTCGGTTGATTAAATTCATCACTAGAAATCAGAAGTGTAAGTTTTGAAGATTAAAGTTTAAAAAAAAAGCAAGTCTTTTAAAGAATCAGATATATATACAGCCAAAGACGTCAATATACATACCTGTGTAATGGTGAAATGGTCATCTTTGTTCTGTAGAAAACATTATAAACACAAGGAATCACTTCAATCAAATTAAACTTCATAAAATAAGTAATCGTTACATACTGTTAATTTTAAAAGGAATGATCCAATAGTAAAAGGTGATTCAAACTTAAAATCGGAACCAGAGAAGCTACCTCTGAAAGCACTGAACTCTCTGCAATCGATGTGAGTATTGAAGCTCGAGCTATATGTACAAGTCTACATTTTGCAAAGCCCTGCATCTTGTTCTACGAAAACGTAAAGAGGGATAAAAGGATTTATAAGTATTTAGTTGAATATCAAGGTTGAATCCAATGTGACGGGGAACTGGGGGAGACCATATGTTCGATGAAATGCCAACGTATAAGAAATGAGTTTAATTTTTATTTATTATTATTTTTTTTACTGATTTACCTTTTCCCTGCAAATATATATTAAACTAATCCGTTTATGGTATGGTCAGTTTTTAATCTTATAAAAAGAATATGTTTCCCTTCCAAGACATTACTAAACCAAGTTTTAACTTTGAAAGTTTAATTTTGCAAATAGCCGTGGTCCATCTTCTTTTATAAACAATCATAGACCCTTAAATATTACAAAATTTAAACAACAATGAGTTATTCACTGCAAGTAATCACCAGCCGAGCTGGGTTGTGATGCATCCTGGGTTATAGACTTCAGTGGGTGAGGCCAAGAGTTCGATTCTTGGCTGAGCACATTTGGGGGATTTTCCCTGGATTGGCGTGGGTTCGATTCTTCGTTCCCTTTGGTGGTGAGTGGTGCCCTTCTTGGTGGCCTGCTAGGCATTCCTGATCCATCGGGTCGGGTTATCCTCTATCTATTTGTCGGTCCTAAAAAAATGAGTTATTAACCAAAGTAATGATCTTTAGAGCCCACTTATCTCCCAACCACAACATTTTTCATTTTAATTAACATTAATTGTATTTTTTTCTTAAGCTATCCTCATAAGCCCCATTTTATAAAATTTATTTTCTTCTTTCATCTAAAGGTCTATTACTTTTTTGTAAAATAATACAGTCTTTTCTTTTAAGATCGATGATGATTTCCAATACAAAATAAGATCATCCCTTAGCAAAACATACAAACATCAACAACATTCAAATCCAAATCCTCCAAAACGAAATCGATCGAAGAATTTATGAGGCCCAAATGTATATGAATGAAACACCACCATTATATATTGTATCAACGATGTATCCAGTTTTAGCAACGAACTTTGGGTAAGCAATTATGTAGATGAACCAAATAGCCTAAACCAAACTCAACAACAAACTTTGGTCAGCAAAATTTAGCAACAAACGTTGACCATCCTATTTTATAAGTGGTTCGTGTTTCACTGATGTAGAAACATTTTTAACTAATAAATTCTTGGAGATGAGTCAACTAGAACCAAGTAAGGTGAGTTGTGGAGATGGATGGTGCAAACCAAGAACATGATTTATGATGTAACTTTTTCACCATGAGTGTCATATTTAGAATGTCACATTTCAAAATGGGATATAAGTTTTGGTTATTTTTAGTGAAAATATATATTTAAAATATTTAAAATAAGTAAATAATGAAGTGATAAATTAAAAACTATGTGGGTTAAATGTTGAATTATGGAACTTAAAGAACCTCTACATCATTCTTCCGACCCCCTTTCCCTCTCATTCATGATTTCAAACCCTAAAAGCTTCTCCATGAGCAACTTTCCTCCATTTTCATGTTGATTTTAATGATCTAACATTAACTTATTGAAGCCATGGTCAACTCACTTCAAATCCTAGCTTAAAAGTAGCTTCCCTTCTCCATTTCTTCTCATTTATGTTTAGGGTTTGTGTAATGATTTCAAATCAATAAATTACTTGATATGTTGGTGTTTAGTTGAGTTTTCTTCTATAATTCCATCCATATATCAACTCTCAAAAATCAACTAACTTGTAGTTATGAGATTTAAGCTACTAATAGACATTTTAAGGATTTTTATTTTAACCCTACAGATTTGAAATATAATGGGATTTTAGGGGTGTTTCCTAACCTTAGGTTTTCAATTTTAGGATTTAGTACTAATATTATGGTTAGTACTAAATCCTAAAACTGAAAACCTAAGGTTAGGAAAACCCCCTAAAATCCCATTGTATTTGAAATCTATAGGGTTAAAATAAAAAATTCTTAAAATGTCCATCAGTAGCTTAAATCTCACAACTACAAGTTAGTTGATTTTTTAGAGTTGATATATGGATGGAATTATAGAAGAAAACTCAATTAAACATCAACATATCAAGTAATTTATGGAATGTTAACCTTAGGTTTTCAATTATAATGGGTTTTTCCTAACCTTAGGTTTTCAATTCCATCCATATGTTGTGTATTTTATTTCTAAAAAATATTAACCTTAGATTTCAAATATAATGGGATTTTAGGGGTTTTTCCTAACCTTAGGTTTTCAATTTTCGTAGGTCAAACACCTCATTGGTTTGTTGACATAGTAAACTATTTAGTTGCTTAATAATTTCCTGCTAATCTCACTCGAGTGCAAAAGATAAAATCGAAAAGGAGGCAAAGAGGTACACACTTGGGACGAGTCATCGTTGTGGAAGTAGGGATGTCAACAGAATCAAACGGGAGAGAAGTAGCCTCCCCCATCCCTAAATTGGCATGTATCCCCTGACCCCGATCCACCCCTGGATTCCAAGACCGCCACTGCTCCTGTCCCCATTTCTCTGTTTCCCTCACTTCCCTGTTTCCCCCGTTTGGCTCGAATTCTCTCAATTAACCTTATTTATTTTATTTTTATCCCTTTTTTTTGTATTAGCCTTACATATTATATTAACTATTTAAAGACACAACACATATTACACAATGGGAAATCTAAGTTTAGTATTTTTTATAAATAAAATAATTAAATATATGATAATTATTTTGAGGCCCTCACAAGGTATTTGGGATGGAACTCCCCACCCTCAAACCAAAAAAAAAAAAGGGGGGGGGGGGGGGGGTAACATCCCTATGTGGAAGCATTGTGCTAATAAAGTAATTAAAAGGTGTGTCCAAGTATCCAACAAGATAAGGTATAATCGATAAATTTCTTTCACACTAAAACTTTTGGATAATATTTTGGCCCTTTACGAACTACTTGGAAAGTGAAATCGATTATTACAATATTGCATTTAGCAACTTAATTGAAGTGTGATCTATGTGGCAACTATGCGTCTAAATAATCTAAAATCGGTGTATTAAGTAGGTCTCTGCTTTGTTTTTATTGATAGATCGACAACCTTCCTAACATGAGTTATTATCAATTTCAAGCAAAAGACTTGCAAACCAACATTAAGTCTTCTTTTCAAATATAAATTCATTACAACTTTTACTTCAAGAAAACATATCCAACAACCATGACCACCCATGACTAAAACTATAAAATGTGTGTGTGTGTGTGTGTGTATATATATATATATATATATATATATATATATATATATATATGGGAAAAGTGAATATACCCTTAAGGGTATATATAAGCTTAGGTACCCAAACTCATCATACTCTATCGTTTTGTATCATATAATATATTCTAATTGTTCAATGCTCTTATAATTTAACTTCTAACTTGATTTATGTAACATCCTAAAAATACAATCTGAAATTTTCGTTTTAAATTAGTAATAAAATCAGATCCATCAAACGTCATATAAGAATCATAAACAATGTATCTCAAAATATCATAACAACTGTCAAATATATCAGAGTATAAACATCCCAGGCTGAACAAATGGTGTGTGCACTACAATCTTCCCGAGCTCCTCTTTTGAAAACTAAGTACCTGAAACGAAAACTGAAACTGTAAGCACGAAGCTTAGTGAGCTCCCCCAAACTACCATATACCATACAATAACATATAAACACATATTGGGTCTTGCCCACTTGTTAGAACAAAGTTCTATTAGGATCGTATGATTCTAAGCAAGATTAAAATAAGAACGTAATAAGAAAACAAGTATTGCGTTGAATGTGTCGAATGATTAATGCAAATAACACCTCAGAAGAGCTCGATAAAGAACTTCAATCTGTAGAGGCGTTTAGGGTTACAAAAATCAACGTAATGAAAAGCTTATCAATATACACATACATGCATACATATATATACCATAACCCTAGCAATAAATCTAGATAACTACGTAACTAATCTAGATAGACACGGATGGACAGGCCCAATCCGGATTACAAAACACTTAGCCCAAGACACAACACAAATATACTCTACAATCTCCCCCTTTACGTCCTTGGAGCAGAAACTTCATTCCCTCTCAATAACAGAAGGTTTCTTCACGGTTTTAAACACCTTCGGTATAATGGCCAGAATATGATGTCGAAATGTAATATACCACCGAAGCATGTCTGTGAA